GTCACACACGGTGGCCTAGAGTGAGCGGCGGCGGCCTAGAGTGAGCAGAGGCGGCAGGCTTGAGAACGGCGCAGCCAGCAGATTCGACGAAGGAGCGTCCCGTCCGGAGGGCTTGCGGCAACCACATGTGACGACCCCGGGCTGGACTCCGCTTCGTCCATGGAGAAAGCCGATCCGGTGATCCACAGCGCAAAGTTGTTGTATTTCCTCAGCGACCAGCACGGATCAGCTCCAGGCATGACGAAGCAGATATCGTCCTCTTTTGGAAGGCCAAACAAAGTAGTTTCGCTTTCACAACGAAACACACAGCGCCTTCATGACATGGCGGCGGCAACAACAATACTACAGCGAGAATAAAAGTTATGCCTTCTTTCTTTGCGTGAACATTTGGGCGGCGTTATGCAAATCTTCCCACATAGTGACGTAGATATGTGGGGGCGTGTTAGAACGAGCCGTTTTAGGTAGGAGTGGCTGACTCTTAACTTTTATAAAGAATATCTCTTTGGATTTGAGACTTTAGTCTTTGCAATTTTACAGATCTTCTTTATGCACCAAGAGCTTGTAACACTCCGAAGAGAAAGGAAAAATTGAAATCGCATCATATGACCCCTTTAACGCCTCACGTATTTTAAAAATATAGCATTCATGTTCCTGACACAAATTCTCATCCTAAAGCCTCTTGAAAATCCAAAATATGCAACTGGCACTCCTAATAGCTAAAGATACAAGTCAACTGTTCAGGCTAAACCTCACATGTCAGGATATACTTGCAGAAAGCACAGCAAACCGTGATGGTAATTAGGGCTGGGTAAAAAAATGTCGATATTAATCGATTCTCATTTTTACAGAACGATATCGATTCTTAAATCCCAAGTAGGCATGGGCCGATTACCGGTTTCACGGTATACCGCGATTAAATGAAATCACGGTTTCAATACCGCTAATATTTTCCATTACACCGTTCCTGCAGTATGCGCTGTTTTTCATGTCTCCTCATAGACTGAAAGTGTAGGAATCCCTCAGGTTGGGTGCAGTGTAGAGAGTAACACGACACTCCTTCTCCTGTTGGTGCGAGCGGTCAGTCACATGTGTGTAGGATGGCCGAACTAAGGAGCTTCCTCTGGAACTTACGCGATCGGCAACCGGCCGTTTTTTGTCTTATTGCAAGCAACTCGTCCCTGTTCTGGACTTGCACAAACTGCATTGCAATGCAATTGTTTTCCAAAATGTCATTTATGTGAAAATATGAAGTCTGTAAACGCCCGTTAACACAGACCAGAGACGTTGAAGATGGACGCACAGAGGAAAATACTGTAGCAGGCAGATCACTCACTGTTCATGATGCACGAACTATTGGAAGAAAATCCTCAATGTTGATTTGGGGGTTTATATGAATGTGTTTCTGAGGGGAAACTGGCTGTTTTTAGAAATGGCGTTGTCTTTGTCTCCTTATAATGCATTTAAATTAGTGCTGCTGTGTTTACAGCGGTAACCAAGGAAACGCTGTATTACTGTTCCATAAGCGCCGCCTGCTGTCAGAGAGTGAATCTGCGTCTCATTCAACCCACCTGCTGTTTCTGTTTCATACAGATGTTCAAAATAAACATGACTAAATATCCGAAGGTAAGTTAAAAGAATGAGTATAACTGTACAATCCGTATCCTGTCTCATGTAAATGCTCAGTGTTTCAGCTACGCAAAGACGTCAATATAATGGCTTGTAAAAAATGTCACGTAACGTCACATTTACCTCAGAAAAACATATTCCGTGACCATAAACACATTAGTCAGATAGAAAAATAAACTGTAGAGAGGGGCATGTTACTAAATATATGCACCATATAACATTTTCCTTATAATTTTTACTGTTCTTCAATGTTTAATTTATGTTTGAATAAATCCATCAAGTTTTATGACAGCCACCATTTAAATGTTTATAGCCTATAACAAAAACTAATTGAAGTAGAAATATTATTATGTAATTATACTTGTGAATGAGAATCGAATCGAATCGTGAAATTTGTGTCAAAACTCAGCCCTAATGGTAATGTTCTGGAGCAGGGATGTGCACAATCAAGATAAAACAGTACTTTTCACTTCCCCAAGAAAGATACAATGGCTGTGTTTTAAAAACATAGTCTAGTGCCTAAGATGCCCAAAATTGCAGCTGACTTGGAACAAACAAATAGCCAAATTTGCATCAAGGATGTTTTTGAGTAAAGGGTTTAGTGCATCAAAATGGTTATCAATATAGCAGTTAGATTAAGGATGACGTCATTATGCACATCAGGCTAAAGAAAGCGAAATCTGCTTAAAACTTTTTTAATTCATTTTCACTTTGCTGATAACAGAACAGTGGAAATACTGGATGAAAACATAGCTCATGCTGACTCTGAAGTGCTAGTTACACCAAAAAATGCTGCTGACTTGGAAGGAGCCCATGACACCCAAAATGCAGCTGACCCTGAACACTCATTCGGCCCTTTATTGCCCAAAAATGTTGCAGATTCACAACATGCCTATGACACCCAAAATGTAGCTCACCCAAATGTGCCATTCTGACACCAAACAGCCCTGTTTAGCCGAACAAAACCTCGCTGATCCCAAACACCCTTTATTGCCCATAAATGCTGTGGATTCGAACTGTTCCTATGACACCCAAAATGCCGCTGACACCAAACACCCATATTTAGGCCAAAAATGCTCCTGATCCTAAAAACCCCTTTACTAGCCAAAAACTCGCTGACCCCAAATGCCTCATTCTGCCTCAAAATGCTGCTGACCCCAAAAAAAGCCTTTTATCATTATGCACTAAAATGGCCAAACACGTTTATTGCTCAAAAACTTTGAAGATAGATCAAAACATGCCTATGACACGCAAACTGTAGCTGACCTCAAACACCCTATTCTGTCCAAAAATGCTGCTGACACCAAACATCCATTTAGCCCCAAAATGCTGATGCCAAAGACCATTTACTGCCCAAAAACGCTGTTGATCAAAATGTGCCTGCGACACCCAAAATGCAGCTGACTCCAAAAACGTTGCTCATTCGAAACATGCCTATAACACCCAAAAAGTAGCTGACACAAACACCCCTTCTGTCCCAAAATGCTGCCAGTACCAGACACGAACACTTCACAGTCACAGGCACATTGGACATGTGCCTGTACCCAAATTCTGCTCAAAAAAGCTGCTGACAACAAATATCCCTATTTACCCCCAAAAAATACTGCTCACTGTAAGCGCCTCTATTCTACCTAAAGTTGCTACTGGAATCAAACACCCATATTTAGCTGAAAAAAAAGCTTCTCACCCTAAATGCCCCATTCTGCCCAAAAATGCTGCTGACCTCAAACACCCCTTTACTGCCCCAAATCGTTGCTGACTCGAATCGTGCCTAAGATGCAGCTGACCCAGAAGAACTCCCCCGTTTGGCCCAAAATGGATCTACTCTGAAAGATGATGTTACCCAAAAGAACTGCTGTCTAGGAAGGCAGAACCGCCAAAATGCTGTCTAGGAAGGCAGCTCACTAGCTTTTGAAACACGACCTATGTCTTCTTGCCCTGATAGGAACAGATTAGCAGTTTGCTAACTAGCAACAGCAGTTGTTTAGTGGACCGAAAAAGAAAGTAAACAACAACTAGCCAGTCACAGTAACTTTTGTGGTACTTATTCACACAGATATGACACACACGTCCACTTAGAAACCTCAAGTAACGCAAATTTGAGCCTGTAAACAGTGTGTTGTATCACAGCTGAACTCAGATTAGCCGGCTAACGTGCTAAATACTCACATTTGCGCAGCCACCTCATCCAGTATCGCACGACCAGGCTGTGATATTTCTTGTTCTCGATGCACCACACGGATAGTCCCTGAATGGATTCCATGGTGTTGGATACAGTCTGAAAGCGACGGTCCAAAGTGGACTCCAAGCGCGGCGACGAGCCACTATTGTGGCCGCTAACACCTGCACTTCCAGCAGCCATTTTCCAGATCTTCTGGTCGCGGTGCTGCTGCCCCTTACAGGTTCATGTGAGGATACTGCAACATCATGGGACACTGATCCTCCATTATTCCCAACATTACAATAACAATTAGACATGTACATTTGAAGTTTGTATTGTTCTTTTCTTCTTTCCTACTCATTCACAGTCTCTGGTCTGAAATCACAATGACAAGGAGAATGTGTTATACAACACAAAATATACAGAAGTAGAAACTGGTGAAATCACTTTGAAACATGTATGAGTATTTCATATTGCTCAAATATGAAACATGCAAACATCCAGCAGGGGTCAGTCATGGACAGAGAGAACAAATGAGAAAAGCAGACTTTCAAGTGTACCCGTCTACTGACGAAGTCATGTTAATCATATTTACAGATATCAAGATCACTTTCATTAATTTAATAATACAAACAACCTATGTATTTCCCCTGGCTAATATATGTAGAATATATGATAAAGATTGTTTTGGACAATTTAAATAAACATGTAGGCATAATAAAATAGAAAACAATTATTTTAAATTGTGTATTACACAATATTACTGTTTTTAATGTAATTGGTGAGCAATGACATTTTACCGACCCTAAACTTATGAATGGTATAGTCTATATTTAAAATATTTCTATATAATATATGGAAATATATACACCATAATTCATGTCTAAAATAGAGAAATAGAAAAACAGAGAGCGAGGACAAATTCAAAAATAAGAAACTTGGAAACATTTAATGATATCAAAAAATAGAGCATGTTGAAAAACATTTCAGCAACCTTGACAAAAACTTTGATACAAGAACAGAAATTACTTACAAGAGAAAAAGGTTTTGAATCATGAATAGAAAATAACAGTGGTGCTACAATGGCTGACTTTTCTGAAACAAATAATAATAAAAACATCTTCCTCAAAATGCGTGAAGCTGTTAAGTGCCATTAAATATTAGTCTCACAATACACCTTCATGTTCATGTTTCCCGTATAGTATAATCTCCATTATAATTCCAACAATATACTTACATGTATTTTTTACACGATACTTGTACAGCTGCACAAAGATGTGACTACATGCATCTGTCAACATAGCCAAAAAGTTCTCATTCCTCATGAAGCAACTACCAAATACTGCATCTATAATGTCAGAATATATTCTACAAATAACTAAATAAAATACAAGTCTCATCTGCCTCAGTGTGACCTTTACAGTGTGTGACACGCCACATATTCATCATTAACTTGAACATGTTAGTTTTAGAGAATGGTTAATAGTCACAATGCTCAGATTCACAAATTCTAAATGGAAAAAAAAAGGTGAGTTAAAGGAAACAATTGTGCAATTTCCTATAACAAAAATCGAGATCTCCAAGACAAAACAAACTATTATAGCATGGAAGCAGAACAACATAAATGTGCAGTTTTTGGCAAGAACATTTTCAATAAATGAACGTTTACTCCCCAGATTATAGAATAACACCTCACACACATCCCATCTGTTGTTCCTGGGATTATTCTTTCGGTCTCTTAATAAATATGAAACACTGAGCTATGATAATGGCCAGGGCCCACTTGTACGGACACTTTAAGGCTGCTTAAGTGAATTCAGTATCTTCAAGTAATAATGCAATAAATAAAACTGCCTCTAAAATATCCCCCCATATAATGTATTTCTATTTCAGCCAATGCTCAAAGTGTTTTTCAATTCAAGTCAAAGAACATTAATGTAGATTGCAATAACAGTCATGCTTCTGGACGTTTTACCAAACTATTTTTCTGCTGATATCTGGCTTACTGGTTTTATGTTCATAAAGCTGCAGATATTGTTGGAAGTCTGTGTTATCATGGAAAGTGGAGCAGTAGAGTGTTTGATAGCTGTGCATGTTGTTTCGCCGCTTGACTATACGGCTCTGGCATGTATTTTAAAGACACTTCTTTCTTCAACCTATAATCGTATAAACACAAACCTTATGTCACATTGTACATATGATAATTTCTGTGCTGTACATATATGTGGCAGAATGCAAAATTAACTAAACTAAATGAACAAAACTTTGTGGAAAAACAATGAATTCTCAGTATCAACAGGCTGGAGAAATGTTAAGTCAATCATTCTTTTAAACATGAGAAACTTCAAAATGTTATGCGTTTAACATCTCTGTGCAACTATTAATCAGTTTTTTTGGCCTTTCTCCTTTTACAGATTCACCCACATCTTTCTCACTCATCATCATGTCCTCTGGTGGGGCGGAAGTAGGATTAGTGGAGGACACAGAACAGTCCTGCATGCCCAAGCTGCTGCCATCTGTCGCTGACAATGGTATTACAAGCGGAGGAGGTCTTCCTGTTGCAGTCTTAGAGGTTTCGTTTAAGGAGTTTGTCTTTTGCCTGACTAGAAGTTTGCTGTTTTCGATGAGTTTGGGTTCAGATGTCACATTATTTTGATTTGTACAGATCATACTGTCTTCAAGTTCACTAGATGTGGTATCGGAGCTGCTGAGCCATGAGCTGCTATCGCTGGGGCTCAGACCTCGATCGTCCTCTTGAACGCGTTTGCTGCTTGAAGAACCTTGCGAGTCAGAATCTGACCAACTTACTCTGCGTTTCTGAACAAAAAAAAAAAAAG